GCCCTACAAAATCCTGGCCAAAGCCCTAGCTTTCAGGGTCCTTGAGCTCACCGACAAGTGCTTTCACATAGATCAGACATGTTTCATCACCCCTGGGAGATACATTTTGGACAATGTACTCACTCTTAACGAAGCGCCCAAGAAGATCAACACAGCAATATTGTTCTTCGACTTTGAGAAGGCATACGGTCAGGTCAATTTGTCCTTTCTGAATGCAAGCATGGAAAAGATGGGAGTAGGGCCGAATTTCAGAAAATGGGTATGTACTCTATACAACGACGTCAGTGGATGTATACAAGTCAATGGCCTGTTGTCAGACTGCTAGCCAATTTCACGTTCAGTCCGTCAAGGACACCCATTAGCTCCCCCAATCTTCTTGTTTGTCATGAAAGCAATAACCTCCTCCCTACGGAAAGATCCTTCCATCCACAAACTACCAGAAGTCAATGCAGAAGCTCATCATCCAAAATTCCCAACAGTAATAATGTTTGCAGACGATCTCACTGCCCTCATACAAGCCTCGGATTCATCCTTCGGTGCCCTTGTGAGAGCTATGGAAGCGTTCAGACTGGCCTCAGAATTGAAGATTAACTGAAAAAAAATGATTGGGTGGTGGTTGTCAGAGGAAGAGTCCCCTCAGCTCCAAGGCCCAAAGGCAGCGATGATATGGGCGACACCTGAGACGCCTACACGATACCTGGGGATCCTGATGACAAAGGAAGGCTTTCCCCCCCAAATGGACCAAAATGTACTGACCAAACAAATCAACAAAATGGGCAGGTGGGGTAACACCCTTACATCCCTGCTCGTTCGCGCATTAACCATCAATACCTCTATTTTTCTTGATGATGCCGTACTAGCCTCAATATGGACAGTATCAGATAACTCAATCAATAAGCTCAACCGAAAAGTGAGAGCCTACTTGTGGTCAGATGACCCCAATAGAGGTAACAGCATCCCCAAGATAGCAAGGGATTACATCACGAGGAAACCAAGTAAAGGAGGTCTAGTTATCATCGATCCCAAACAAGAAACCAAAGCCCTCCAAGTCAAATGGATTATTAAACTGCTGACTAAACCGGGTACAGCGTGGAATAAACTAGCTCTAGACAACATTAGATGCCTTGGCCCAATACCAACACCGACAAACAAGTTTGGTCTATTTTGGGTGATGAATAAGGAATGGACGCCAAAAACAGGACGCAGAAATCGTCTAGCCATACCTCGCACGCCCTACTGGGCAGCTCTGCTACAAATATGGAGGGAAATCAGGCCGAAAAAGTCGGCAAACCCAAGTCTAGGGAAGAGGTTTTGAGGCAACCCCTCCTTGGTAATCCATGGTTGAGAGACGAAAGTGACCACACGCTCTCCCTCAAACCCAGAGGTATGTGATGGCTATCATGGATAAAACACGGCGTGTGACAAATTGGTCATTTGTGGGATGAAGACAAAAGAGATTGGGTAACGGATCAGGATCTTACCTCTCGCCTTAAAGGCTGTCACTGGCGAGATAGGAACCTGCAGACCGTCATCAACAGCATCCCGGAGGGTTGGAAAGAATTGCTTGAGGGAACGTCAACGTGGAAAACGGGCGAATGGGGGATCCGGATACAGGAAATCCCCCTCTCGAGGGCCTACCAATTCTCACACGAACAACAGGGAGCGAATACTGTTGCTGTGTTTAGGTCCTACCGAATGTCGCAGACAATTCATGGTTCTGCATCTATCCTAGACAAAGACATGGAAAGAACACGCCTAGACATCTTCCTTCTCAGGAAAGTGAGAGTTACGGGGTCCTGGTCCAAAACAATCTTCAGAATGGACACAGTGATCCAGGACCTGGAATTCGACCCAGCAGAATGGGCGTGGACACCAGGTAAAGACAAAAATATCAACACAGACATCCAGGACTACTCAGTAAAAATGGGGTACAAGTTATTCCTCAAGACTAAAGATCCGGAACCTACAATCAGAAGCAGATCTCACAAATTCCATGGAAGAAATTCAAATCAATCAGACCAGTCAAAATCATGAGTCTCCAATGGCTTATCGCCTACTTGGCGCTACCGGTCAACCAGTGGCTCCATATTCGAAGATGGAGGAATGATCTTAACAGTTCCGACTTATGCAGTCTGTTCAGATAACGAGCCACAAGACGTACTTCACTGCTTAATCCGATGTAACAAAGCGACTGAGTACTGGGCCAGGGCTTTGGACCTCTGGGACTCTCTTTTCACAAAATCCCTCTCTGAACATCCCATCCAACTTCTACTATGGACTAACATCCCGACTGATCTCAACAGCACCGAGAGGACACGGTATGGCATGGTCATCAAAGGTTACACTTTGGCCGATTTGGAAGGAGAGATACAGCAGGACTATCGAGGGACTGTCAAGTCCAAGAGAAAAGGTATGGGTGGAGACAAGGACTCTAATCCAGGTGGAAATCCTATGCAGATGGCACAGAACAAGGCTTTCTTTGCCTGATGATGAGGACCGGCAGTGGAGTATCCTCTCGAAGTTTGTCAAAGTTTGGCTGGTGGGGGAAAGAATTGCAGAGCTAACAGACCACACAACGTACGGTGGGAAGATTGGCATAACTCGGATGCGAGCTGGAGAAGCTCAGCACTACAGGATCCACAGGCCACATAATGATGAACACAAGGCATCAGTGCTACTCAAGAACAACTCAGTTCCTGATCTCAGTCTTCCTTGCTTCAAAGCTCATCTGACAGGTTCCCACAGAAGAATCTGAGAGGGATCCCAGGGAAAGGCAAGCTGACAGTCAATCCTCCTAGCAGGAGTAATCAATGCTGGTCAGGGTTCCTTCAGCCATACGGAAGGAAGGGTGAGCGTGTTTCATGATGTATTCAATACTGACTTGCCGGGGGAATAGGAACCGGACTGACGCTCCCTAGAATGGATACGGAGCCAGGACCATAAGGACCTGTTTATATATATATTTTTTAAAGAAAATTTTCAAAAAAAGGAAAAAGGAGCTGTCAGGCGCGGAACCCTTTTTCTTTTCTCCTCCTCTGTTCTGGTCCACTCCTCGTTTTGCTTCAAGAGTTGTTAGCTCTCTGAAGAATCTGACCTGACCTCTCCACAGGTTCAGAGGTCAAACTCTGTCCATCTCCACCATGATGCTAACTGCTATCATGATATCCCCTTGAAACCTGGTGCCCTGGCATACAGGCTGAGTGCATGTCAATAGGTTACCAATCGGTCCAAATGTTGGACGAGAAAGGTACCCGTCAGCGAAAATGACGACTTTGGTTGCTCTAGGATGATGTAGATCCCACTGTAGCACCAGAGGCAGCGATGGTGGTGGTGGTTTCATAATGAACAGAGGAGAACTGGGGTTGATTGGTAATGCAGAGAAGTTGTGATTTCAGCTTCTTCTTTTTTTATTTTTTTCAACTTTTTTGTTATCAGATCAGAGCAATGTTCACTGTTCGGCACGGTCTCTCTCGTCTTTCATACGAAGGCTCGTGAGCCAGTATCAAATGCCAAAGAGGGAGGTGAATCCCTCTCTAACGTCAAATGCGCTCTCAGAAATGTTCTCTGCCTCAAACAGTAGTCATATCTGCCATCGCACCCCAGACGAGAGATAGAAAAAGAGGGGGAGCGAAGAGGAAAGATGTGAGTGGGAAGCTCTCAGGCACACTCTCAGCAAATGGAGGCACCAATCATCTGCCAGCCATGATTGCTCCCATGACAAAGATGATAACCCCTTGAGTACCTTCTCCCATGGAGGGAAACAAGTTGCTAATCCCTGCTCAAGTTCCTCTGCAGACTGCCAGTGCACTGCTCTCCTCCCGCTTCCAGTCATTCCTCAGCACCTCTAGTGTTGCTGGTGTGCCTCTTTCCAAGCGCCTCGCTATGGAGGCTAGCTCTGGCTTGCTCCTCAATCTCCAACTACGGAGGCTGGCAGTCCTTACTG